TCTTTTAACTAACCTATCAAAAGCCAAGCTAAGCTGCAGTTATAATCTTATAAAGCCGGTAACATTAGGAGTATGGTCCGGTCCCGATTCAGTCTTAAAAGGTTTGGTCTTAAACTATTAGGAACTAGTTCATGATACCAATCCGAAACCGGTCTAAGCCTAGCGGCTTAATATACAGTATATACAATAGTTGGCATTGTGTTTTAGTGCTATTTTAGATGTTACAGACATACAATTAGTACAATTAGTAATCTTGAAACATCAATTTGTTTTATAAATTTAGTTTGATTATTTTTTGCGATATCACTAGTTCTAATAACTTTTTCATTGAAGTTATATTTCTGTATTACTAGTTAATCAGACGTTCATTGTGGATACTTAACATCACCAATTTTAGTGTTAGTTGTGTACAAATATTTTTGTAATTAATAATTTGCGAATATGTATAAGCATATTATGAAATATATTACTTAAAAAATAAAATTAATAATTCAGTAAATAATAACTTCTTTTATTTTTTACAAAGCAAGATAAAAACTAAACAAATAAAATCTAGTCCCTTTAAAAATTAATGCCATATTACAACTACGAAACATTTTGAAAAGATTGAGTGTACTACATAATAAGTATGTTTAAATTTTTAATGCTTTACTATAGTCGATATCGGCTTACGACTCTAAATCAGCACTAAATCAAACTGTTAGCTCTGCTAAGTTGGTCAGCTCACGACTTGGTAAAGTATCTCTATTTGGTGTTCTTTTGATTTTCAATTCCAATCGTGATTTCAGATTTACCATTAAGGTACCCTTTGTGCCAAAATAATGTAGATCTCCTTGAATGTGGATGCGACGTGTATTAATTGTGATATTTGATTTTTTTTGTGTTAAAAAATTTGCATCACGCGGGTATTTTAATCCACAAAATACTGTATTTCTTAAACCATTCAATTATTTTTCTTTTCACCCTTTTAACATGTTTATACTTTGTATTAATTTTTTTTAATTTTCATGTTAATTTGTTTTTTATGCCTCTCATATTAAAAGTTAACGTGATGTTCGACGTGAACTTGTTAAGATTCTTACATATTGTTTTGGAGTGAGTATGATTATTAAAAAAGGAACTGGAAATGCGACATTGGTACAGTATTATTATTATTATAGGTGACTTAAAAAATCTTATTAAATTATAACGATCTATTTAAACTTCTGTTCTGAATTCTAATTTGAAAGGCTATGAGGTTCTCAGAAATTAATTGCCTGGGTAATTCATTTATACCAAACTATATGGGGGAAGTCCCCATATATGCAATTTATCCGATCAATTTTCAATTAAATCAATTGAATTGGTGCGGAAAATTCCAATACGTAGATTATCAAAGTTGCTCGATTTTTCTAATAAAATTTTTCCGTCATGTTAGGATTTAAAGCATGAATTTTATTTTGCGAGAAAATATAATAAATTGTTGGATTTAAATCAAGAATTAAGAACTATTTTGACGCTTAAGTGGACAAATTCATGATACTTTTATTCCCTTCTATCCACCTGCTCCATGTTAAAATTATATAAATCTAGTATCACCAGTCTAAGAAATTCACACATAAGACTAGTAGTAATTTCGCTATAGAAGATTCAAGTTGTTAAGTTAGAATTAGGATTTTGATGCAATATTATGGTTATAGAGTCATTTTTTGCCAAAATCGCATTTAATAAGCTTTGTTTAGTATGCAAAAGGTAAGTTACGCGTTTTTCTTTTCCTTTTTTTTTGGTTTGGCACATGTTTTTGGAGTCTGATTGGTCAGCGAAACTTCTTAGACCGGCGATTTAACTGCTAATGTAAAATTGGTGCCGAAGCATTTTTATTTAATGCGTGCCTGCGATTATATTAACAAAATTTTACATAGCAGATAGCTTAGATACAGTATAATTTACGGCAACTGCACTTATGTAATGATCTTTTTGACAATTGTGCTTTTTTTGAAAAAAAAACTAGATGTTACCCGTCGCTTCGCTTCCGGTTTAAATTTACACGTGTAATTTTTTCAGTCTATATTTATAATTAACTAAATATACTGTATATAACATAAATATGATGAAAAAAGCAACATATGGGTGGCCATTGATTTAATGAAGTAGGTTCTATAACTAATAAAGAACCCGTACATCACTGACTATAGTACCCCAGAAGATGGCTCTATAATAGAGCAGTACTTTACATAGATCAATAAGATTTTCTGAATTATACGTACCTATAAAATGTACCCTATTACAGTATTATGTGTAGTCGATTATCATTACACGATTGAAGTGATTATTTATATTAGTAATCTAAACGTTACGCTACGTGAAACGAACGATTTTATAGATAGACAGATAGACTAGACTAGATTAAAAACTTACTGGTCTAGTGCGATGGTTTCTCTTGTTTCACTACACGACGAAAATTATCACGGCAATCACGGGTAACCAATCAAAACGAATGTCGATATTGTTATTGTTGACCAATAAAAATTGAAGATCAGATGATCAAGTGTAACGTAACAATCAAAACAATTTAAATCGAAAGTAACGTGTTTGTTTTTGTTTTTATTTTTGTTTTTTCGCCTCCTGCTAAGTTCGCTTCCTCTTCCTTGTCGATATCCGGGTTTTCATCTCCCCTATATTGGGGGTCTACTGGTTCTGCATTAGGAGCCGGTTATGATCTTCCTCCAAACTTAAAAACAGTTGAAAACTTGTGAAGTAGAGGTTGTTGTAAGCGAACTATAGTAAAAAAGCTTCGTAAAAGATTTATAAAAAAAAAACATAGAAAAAACGCATCTTAGAAGAACAACCAGCTTCTGTATGGGAGATACAGAAGAGATTGGTTGGGGTAGAAATACGGAGTGCTTTTCGGTGCACTTCTTTTACTAATAACATAAGGTTTTAAATTCGTTGTTGCATCAGCACCAAAATCACGATGTATTGATACCTTCCCAACCAATGAGATACACCTCTACGTGGTGGTTGGGACAAGTAAGAGATACTAATCTCCGAAACTAAGTATCTCAAAAACTTATTTACTTTGTTAACGTTTGTTTTATTTAGTATATTTAGTATATAGAAATTTATCATTTTTAACGTTAATAAAAATGTATAATTTTTTTAGTTGTATAATTTAATAAATTAATAAATTATTTAATAAAATTTTAATTAATTAATAAATTAAATTAATAAAATTAATTTTAAGTACACTTTAAAAATATCTGAAAGTAAAAAATTTAATACAGTTAACCGCGAAAATAGTAGTAATTTTGTCAGGCTGCAAGTTATTTTGAAATAAAATATCAAATCTGAACTTGATGTACATGTAAAAAATCTTAGTGAATTGAAAAAATCACGAGAAAATTAAACATTGACAGATTCCCGGTGCAATAATTAAGTATATGTTTAATAGATAAAACTTGCATCATAGAGCGATTAACGACTGTAAAATTAACCTCTAATTGGCCAAGAAACAAGAAATTCAACACCAGCTGGTCGAATTTAACTTACAGTATGTCGTAGCATGTTAACATGATTGTTAACATGATTGTTAACATGATGAAAACATTCAACAAATAAAGAATTCGAATCACATTACATTTTACAAGAAATCAAAAACGTAACCATTGGTGTTAAATTTGAAAAAAAAATACATGTTTGGGTTTTTTTTTAAAGAGAGATCATAAATGATATTTGTAATAATCATTTAAGACTAATGAAGCAATATATAAAAATTAAGAGAATAAAAACTTTTAGAGTAAACGTACTGATAATATCGTTTTCAATCATCGAGTTCTAATATAAACCGCTCATACATTTCTTTTTAACATCGGGTTCAGCACAATTCATGAATGATTCACGTGCATATATGTGTGAAAAATGGATTTAGAAATTTTACATTGGACATATAAGAAATAAAAAGTATAATATCCTAATATCTAAACAGCTTTGCAAAATTATCATGTTATGCTTCTGGAAAGTTGCCTAATTTTCTTGCACTCTTGTTCATCTTTTAAGTGTGCCCGTAACACTGAAAAAGCTTAGCTATTCAAAAATTGCAACACACGATATTACGAACCTCATGTGGTTATATTAAATAACACTATTAGAAAATCATCTAAAATACATACAACCAGTGATGAAAAAAAAAAAAAATGGTGATACTTAATTCAATAACATCAAATGTTTTTAGTATATGAAATTTGATTTTTTAGCACCTCTAGTCACATCATTATATACAACATTTATATATACAGTATCTATGTCACCAATAAAATTTTGCTTTTTTTTCAAATCAGATTTGTATAGCACTGCGGACCAGAGCATGTAAAATGCCAGATATTTACGTTTACGCAAGGCTTGAATTTTTGAAATTTGGACCTATCTAGGAATGAAAATTTTAGACGAGTTGATGTAGATTTACCCCGTTAAAGACATATGATGATCTACATACCGCATAAACTGTATTCTTGATATCTATATAACCCGTTAACCATAGCTGCATCAAAAAAAGTAATCCTGGCTTTAACGGTAAGTTTCGGAAACGTAGACAATCAACAAACGTGTATACGTGCGTTACATATTGATCTTACAATCGGATTGGTTAATAATCACGGGCCCGCAAAACTTCTGCGCCATTATGCATTCATTATATGTCACTATTTTATCTTAATGCGCATTAAAATCAACTGCGAAAATTCTTAACTTTGTTACTATGGAAGACTCCAATCAAAACACTCAGGAACAAGTAATTACTCCTTGGGAGGTTGAAGGTGCTGTGATTGACGGTAAAGCTCAGGCAATTGATTATGATAAACTTATCGAAAAATTTGGAACCCGCCATATCGACGAAGAACTTCTAAAAAGATTTGAAAGTTTAACCGGAAGAAAATGTCATGTTTTTCTCAGAAGAGGCGTCTTTTTTTCTCATAGGTATATTTTGTTCTCTGTTTTTGTATATTCTTGTTCAAAAGGCCCTTATCACGTATTAAGTTATTGATCTATTTATAAATCTAGAGAACTTACACGTATTCTGGATCGTTTCGAACAAAAGAAACCTTTCTACCTCTATACAGGACGCGGCCCAAGCAGCGCAAGCATGCATCTTGGGCATATGGTCCCGTTCATTTTTTGCCAGTAAGTTATTTCTTGATCTTTCTTTTATGAAAAATATATGATAAAATTAATTCATTTAGATGGTTGCAAGAAGTTTTTGATGTTCCACTTGTCATTCAATTGACTGGTCAGTATTCTTTACGTTTATTAATTCTTAAATATTATTTAAATTTTCTTATCATGATGAACTAACTTTGTTATCAGATGATGAAAAATTCCTTTTCAAGTCTGACCTATCATTAGAGAAGGCACGTCAATTTTCATATGAAAACGCAAAAGATATTATAGCGTGTGGTTTTAAATTAGAAAAGACTTTTATCTTTTCCAATCTTGATTGTGTCGGGTCAGTATTCGATTTAGATATTTCCTCATGTTTTTTTTTTGCTACCAATTTATTAATCATTTAATATCATAATTCTCATATAGTGGTGCTTTTTATCACAACATTGTAAAGATTTCAAAGTGCATTACTGCTAGTCAATCCAAGGCTACCTTTGGTTTCAATGATAGGTGAACTTCATTATAATATATACATTATTAATCATATTTTAAATACACAATATTTACCAATACTATCATTTCATTAAAGTGATTGTATCGGAAAATTACATTTTGTTGCTGTACAAGCTGCACCATCATTTTCTAACAGTTTCCCACAAATATTTGGCTCGCGTTTTGACATACCTTGTTTAATCCCTTGTGCTATTGATCAGGTAAGCCGATCATTATTTATAGTATGATTGAGAATCAACAAAATTCATCCATCTGATATTTTTATTCAGGATCCATATTTCCGGCTGACACGTGATGTTGCACATAAACTCAAGTATCCAAAACCCTGTCTAATTCATTCTAAATTTTTTCCTGCGCTTCAGGTAAAATTTATCATAAATAGAATCTTATAATGAAGTTATCATAATGACTTATTGCTATTATTTAGGGTCCTCAAACTAAAATGAGCGCGTCTGTGGATAACTCTGCAATATTTATGTCTGATACACCTAATCAAATAAAAAAAAAGGTTCGTTAAAATTTTCTGTTGCTTAACCTTTATATTGAATATGTCAGGTCCTTAGATTTTTTCTTTAAACTTTAGATTAATAAATTTGCCTTCTCGGGTGGCGGTGACACACTTGAACTCCATAAATTACATGGAGGAAATCCGGATGTTGATGTCGCATATCAATATTTAGCTGTGTTTTTAGATGATGATGTCGAATTGGCCGATATTTATAAGGTTCAATACAATATAAATATTTCGATCGTTTAATTATATAGCTTCTTTTTTTTTATTACTAATTAACGTTGATATTTTGCAGAAATATAAGGCAGGAGAAATGATGACGGGAGAATTAAAAGACCGTTGTATTAAAATCTTACAAAAATTTGTTGGGGATTTTCAACAGGTATGAGTACCTTTACTTAATTTTTGTATTTTATAAAAAAGTATTGAATGTTATCTCTACTCCAAAAAAAATAAAAAGCGTAAATCCGAAATAACTGAAGAAACTTTAAAGACATTCATGGATCCAAATAGAAAAATTTTAGTGGAAGGAATTTAAAAAATCATCACCTCCAAACTTAGAAATTACGTATAGGTAAACAAAGATATATCGCAGATTTTCATATTAAATTTTATTAAAATTTATGGCTTATATCTAAATTTTTTTTATAGTGGTAAATTTTAGATCTATAATAAATTAATTTGTCAAATCTATAATAAAAAAAAAAGAAAATTTATAATTGTACACGGAATGTATGGTACACGGGTATTAATTTTATTAATTCTGTAATTTCAAATTCGTGTAATATACCAAGCAAACCAATTTTTACGAATAAAAATTAAACCATTGCTTATGGTTAGGGCAGGCTAGGGATTGCGGTGAGGTATATTTTATACCAAAATTTCGCAAGAAAATTTTTTTTGTTAGAAGCAAAAAGGTGGTTTCATAATCGGAATTTTGAGATATCGACTGGTTTCGATATCGCCCGGGTACATACACCCCGTGTAAAAATAGTAATTGTCATAAAAAATTAATAGTTCAATAATTTAAATTAAAACAAATCTATTTGTCACCAGCGGCTTAGTCATCAATTTAATCAGATTGCACAATTCAATAACAACTCAAAATTAGTCTATAAACCCAATATTTAACAAAAAAATATTCCTTTACTATATATTATGATTTACTTTAACCCTAGATCTAGCCATAATAACTCAAAATTTATATTTATGGAAACATAGGTAGGTAGGGGCGTATTCAAAAAAAAGTGCGTATTTTTGATTGTTCGTAGATTTTCCATTTTTAGTAATATATTAAGATGTTTGATATTTCGGGGTCCTACGTATGTATCCAACTTTCGTGTCTTCTTTAACCCTAAATATAACTTTAACCGAAATCTGGTTACTGTCATCGTTGCTTATAATCATATTTTTGACTTTATTTTTAAAAAAATTAGTATAATTTTGTAAAACCTATTGTTGTTTTTTATTCTAATTCAAGTAAATTATTATAAATAAAATGCTTATGTATATATTTTTTTTCAGAATACAGAAAGTAGATTTATATTATTCCTTAAACCGTCTGTCTGATTTGGTATACATGTGTTACTAAAATATTTTGAAGAAAATAGTCACTTGAGGCATATGTATAAGTCATGTTTGTATTACTGTATAGTTTTTAGGGTTGTTAAAAAGCTTGTTGGATCAATTCTTGAGTTGATTTTACACTGACTTTTTAGGATTAACTCAAATATGTTCTGAATAAAATCTCATATATATGTTTTTTGTTTCAATTTGTGATTATATAATTAGTTAAATACATGTTATTTGTTCAAATTGTAATCAAAAAGTATTTATATTAACTAATTTATATCAAGATTTATTTAACTCAGAATGAATTTTAATTAAAGTTTTTATATATATTAAATTTGAATTGAAAAACCTAAAAAATCTTAATTATTTTTAAAATAAAATCAAATTACAATCTTATTTAAGAAGATAAACATTGTTGATTATTTTGTATTAATCTTTAGAAAAGATAAGTTAAATTGTTTATTTTTTATAAAAGTTTTTTTTTTTTTTTTTTTTTTTATTAAGGTGACCTCTTTGGTCTTTTGACTTTTATTAATCACTTATCAGTATTGTGG